GGCATGAGCCACCATGTCTAGCCTCATAACATTATTTATAAAAGTACAAAAGTATTTAAACAACCTAAATGCCTGAAGTGAAAAATACAACCATTAAAAATTGTTTTTAAAGACTATTTAATGGCATGAAATTCACAAAATGATGTTGAATAAATAACGCATACACACACTTATACAGGAAAAGGGCTGGAAGCAAATAACAAAGTGTTTACAGGAGTTACCTCTAAGAGGTAGATTATGGGTTTTTAAAATATTTTTCCTTATGATTTTTTTCATTCTCAGTTGTTTATGATGAGTATATAATACTTGTATAATCAGAAAAAATACTTTCAACATGTTTTTGAAGATTATGTGACACTGTAAAAAATGTTCAAAATACATTAAGTAGAAGACAGAGTAAAAAAAACTGTATGTACCCTAAGATTCCTAGTTTCATGAATTTTGTGTTCTTCGAGTTTTTTAGAGTGAACATGAACTTTTTTTTTGGAACAGTATTTCACTCTGTTGCCCTGGCTGGAGTAGAGTGGCACAGTCCTGGCTCACTGCAGCCCCGACCTCCAGGTCTCAGGGGATCCTCCTGCCTCAGCCTCCCAAGTAGCTACGACTCCAGGCACATGCCACCACACCCAGTTAGTTTTTGTTTTTTTTGTAGAGACCAAGTTTCACCCTGTGGCCCAGGCTGGTCTTGAACTCCTGGGCTCAAATGATCCACCCACGTCAGCCTTCCAAAGTGCTGGGATTATAGGCAGGAGCCACCACGCCCCGTCGAACATGAACTTTTATAATCAAAACAATTAGATTTTAATCTTGTCTGTGTCACAATTAAAGTTGAGTCACCTGTCTAAGCCCCTATTGCACAACTGCCTGCTTCTATTGAGGTCCCTTTGGTTGCAAGACTCGGAAACCCAACCAGCCTGGCTTAAGCTCAAAGGAGGGGTGAGGTGAGGATTGCAACATTCAGCAAATACAAATACAGGATGCCAGTTCAATTTGATTTTCAGATAAAGGACTAATAAATTTTCAGTATACACATGTCCCAAATATTGCACTGGGCATACTTGTATTATACCCTAATTGTTTACAAGTTAACAGTCATCACTTGGCAGCCTGACTCAGTTTCCCAGAGGCTGGCAATCAGCCATGAAAAAGAATGAGGAGGACCTAAGTGAACTGGGAATGTATGTTGTGGCTTGTTAGGTAAAGTGTGATACGTTTTCATTTTTAGAAATTATCTACCTGTGTACCTGCATGTCCACAGAAAGTACTTATAAGAAATATGTTAAACATGCACTTTGGACTCTAAATATTGGTTATATAAATTGAAGAATGTGGGATTGAAAAGCTAGCAAAATCCTCTGACTTCACTTTCTATTTTATACATTTCTATATAGTATAAATTTGTTCATAATTTTTAAAACTAAGACATAATGTTTAAACTAACAACAGTTTTTTAGAGCACTTTTAGTTTACAGGAAAAACTAAGCAGAAAGTGTAGAGAGTTTCCATAGAGCGTTGACCCTTGAACATGGGTTTGAATGGCATGGGCCCACTTGTAAGTCGATCTCTTCTGCCTCTCCCTCCCTCAAGACAGCAAGACCAACCCCTCCTCTTCCTGCTCCTCCTCAGCTGACTCAATGTGAAGACAATGAGGATAAAGACCTTTATGATGGTCCATTTCCACTTAATGAATAGTAAATATATTTTCTCTTCCTTATGATTTTCTTAGTAATGTTTTCTTTTATCTAGCTGACTTTACTGTAAGAATGCAGTATATAATACATATCACATACAAAATATGTGTGAATTGACCATGTTCTCCATAAGGCTTCAGGTCAATGGTCGGGTATTAGCAGGTAAGTTTTGGGGGAGTCAAAAGTTATATATGGGGCCGGGCACAGTGGCTCACACCTGTAATCCCAGCACTTTGGGAGGCCAAGGCGGGTGGATCACCTGAGGTCAGGAGTTCAAGACCAGCCTGGCCAACATGGTGAAACCCTGTCCCTACTAAAAATACAAAAATTAGCTGGGCATGGTGGCGTGCACCTGTAATCCCAGCTACTCGGGAGGCTGAGGCAGAAGAATCGCTTGAACTTGGGAGGCAGAGGTTGCAGTGAGCCGAGACTGTGCCACTGCACTCCAGCCTGGGTGACAGAGCCAGACTTTTGAGCCAAGTATCGTTTCAAAAAAAAAAAGTTATAGGTGGTTTTTCAACCATTCAGGGGTCAGCACCCTTAATCCCCGAGTTGTTCAAGGGTCATTGTAATACACAAGGTTTTTAAAACTCCAAACCACCGAAATGCATTTACTAGACAAAACACTGTCAACTGTGTTTGTCTCCAAAATGGTACCAGCAATCCATCCCCCCCACTCCCTCGAGGCACACATGGGTCCTCCTACCACAAGGCGGCCTGTGTCTCCTCCCCCTTTAATCTGGGCTGGCACAGCAACTTTCTTTGACCAAGAGATTATGACCAAAATTACGTAACTACCCTATTTATGATGCCTATACCTATGCTTAACACCTAGAAGCTTGTCATTTTTATGTACTGCCCATAATTTGTGATATGAATATGCACTGTCTTTTTACTTTAAAAAACGTCATTACAAAATAAATTTATTTAAAAAAATTTTTAAACAAAAGTTTAGAAAGTAGAAGGCACAAATCTCTCCTCCATCTTCCGGAACCATACTTCACAGTTAATCACTCTTATCAGTTCTGCTTTTTATTATTAAAAACACACACACACAGACACAAAGTGAAAAATAAGAGAGAGAGAAAAAAAGTACATTCCAGAGCAGAGTGGAAAGAATTTCTTCCATAAAAGTATACTTATCATACAAGCACCTATGTTAGGAGACAATTCTTTATAGTCTCTCACACTGTGTACATCTTGCAAGTAAACACTTTTTTCTGGATTGTGTTTTCAAGGATGCTTGTACACGTTGAGTATCCCTTATCCAAAATGTTTGGTACCAGAAGTATTTCGAATTTTGGATTGATGTATTTACTTGAGATGGAGTCTCGCTCTGTTGCCCAGGCTGGAGTGCAGTGATACAGTCTCAGCAACCACCACTTTCTCTTGCCTCAGCCTCCCGAGTAACTGGGACTACAGGCGCGCGCCACCACATCTGGCTAATTTTTGTATTTTTAGTAGAGACAGGGTTTCACCATGTTGGCCAGGCTAGTCTTGAACTTCTGACCTCGTGTGATCTGCCCACCTAGGCCTCCCAAAGAGCTAGAATTACAGGCATGAACCACCGCTCCTGGCTGGATATACAGATTTTTAATTTTGCAATAATTGCATTATACTTACCTAGTTGAGCGTTCCAAAACTGAAATTCCAAAATCTGAAATATCCCAATGAGCATTTTGAGTATCACCGTTGAGCGTCATGTTGGCACTCAAAAGTTTCAGATTTGGGAGCATTCTGGGTTTCAGGTTTTTGGATTAGGGATGATCAAGCTGCACAGCAAGCATCCTTGGAGGGGAAGAGTCTCTTTCTCTAGCTGAGGACAGACGTGCTCACTGTCCTATGTAGAAGATTTGGGTTCCTTCAGCTTGGGGTTCCTCTCCCGTCACACAACCTCCTGCATGTGAGGTCTCTGACTCTAATGTCACCCTATGGAAATTTGGACCGGGGGAACCAATGCAAAATGCGAATACTCTGGCTATTGCTATTGCCTCTGTCTCTGACCCAGGGGTCTTCTGTCTTCTGCCAGCATCCCTGAAACGGAGTCAGGCTAACAAGTCACAACCGTCAACTTGTTAACAAGTTGCAGGCTGCAATTAGGGTAAAATGTCAGACCCTTCCTAATTCTTGATATTTTCATGAGTATGTTTCTTTAAGTCATTTTTAAACTACAAAATGTGGGTTTTCTCAGCTACATAGTTCCAACCACTGGCCTATCAGCCAAGTACTCTTGAGCATCTATTTATTCCCCGCCATGATTTTTCTCCACTTCTGATACCATCTCCCGTTCTCAACAATCCTACGGGTTTCCCAAAACATACAGACAGACAGACATTGCCTGCAAAGACTTGATATCCTCAGGGTGAAAAATAAGCAGAGGCCAAGTTCTAAGAGTGAAAAAGCAGGCACTTCCCAAACAGCAGAGCCAAAGCACATGCTGCCAAAGAGCCCACTGGAAAGGGGAGATGCACAGGAAAACACTTTTGCACCCCAGCTCAGGAGAATTTAACAATGCACTTCCACCCCTCCCCACACATGAGAGTGGAAATGCTGGCATTAGATAATTCCAGAAAAGGGGCTGGGCGCAGTGACCCATGCCTGTAATCGCAACACTTTGGGAAGCGAGGCAGGTGGATTGCTTTCAGTCAGGAGTTCAAGACCAGCCTCACCAACATCATGAAACCCCATCTCTACTAAAAATACAAAAAAATTAGCCAGGTGTGGTGGCACACACCTGTAATCCCAGCTGCTCAGGAGGCTGAGGCAGGAGAATCCACCCTGGAGGTGGAGGTTACAGTGAGCCAAGATCACTCCATTGCACTCCAGTCTGGGCAACATGACAGAGCAACACTCAGTCTCAAGAAAAAAAAAAAAGATAATTCCAGAAAAGGAAAGTCAATCTGCTCCACAGACTTTCCAGACAGTGGTGAGGTATGGGTGGATGGCATTTCCAGGGTTTACTAGCAGGCAACTTAAAGCAGAACCACCAGGGGTTTGCTCTGCGTATCGTCTTCCATCTGGAAATAACGCCTACAAGATTTGCAGAATAATGCTCTTGGAGATCAAGGAAATGACCTTGGGAGGTAGCATGAGGAAGGTTGACTAGGAAAAAAAAATGACTGACAGGGACAGTAAGCCTGGGTACATACTCAGAAGTCCCTGAATTTCTGTCAGTCTACAGCTGGGATCGATTCTCACTGGCTGGGATGAAAACTGTGGCCCTGCCTGAAGGCTCAGGCACAGACAGAGTGGCCATTCTGATGCTGTGAAAGGAAGCAACGTGAAAGAGAACGACTTAGAGGAACTTACCCAATAGTAGGGCTGATGTTGTGGTCAAAGTGATCCTGGACAAATCGACACACAATGCTTGATTTCCCAACCCCAGTGTCCTGGAAAAGAAGAAGGACACAACCATGAAGACGAAGGGAGGCAACTCTGACCTCACAGATAACCAGAGGACAGGACTGACTATTTCTGGTTGATGAGACTGGGAGAGGGAGTGGGGGGATATTTTCTTCTATTTCTTACCAGTATTTTCTATAATCACATTGTATTGCTTTCACAGAAAGAAAAGAAGTATGGTAAAAATAAGTTTCAGAAACATGTCTGACACGTATACAATATTTAACCAAAAACGAGCATGTTCACCTTCGATGTATTTTCAGAAATTTTGAAATCTTGAGAGGGGTCTAGAGAAGAAGGACGCGAACACACCGCATTGTTTAGGCAGAAACAGAATTCACTCTGCTCAAAACCTTGCATTCAAAAGACATGTAATCTGTTTCTCTAGGTATCATCCTATACGACCTATTAATTCTAATTTCTACGTTTCTAACATTTTCTCTTTAGAATCTGATGGTTGGGTAATAACTGCCAAAGTCTGCTTAGTTATATGATGGTCTTGTCTCAGTTCTTTCTCTCTTAAATAATTCTTTAAAGCTGATTAGGGCAAGGGTCCAATTACACGGTGGGAACTGAACGCACACATTTATATCCACCTCCTTCCAAAGCCCTTGTAAAGTGGTTTATGAAATGAAAGACACAAATTCACAAGGTCAAAGAGATAGGAAAAGAGACAACACCAGACAAGTGATATCAACAAAATCCAGGAGGACAAGCGGTCCCTGAGAATCAAGAAGCTGAAACCAAACTGCTGGCAGGGAGAGAAGCCAATAAAGAAGCAAGCCAATTCATGCCGTAGAAACTCAGAAAAAACATCAAGCATTGGAGGGCACGGCTGAAAACAGATCAGTTGAAAGGCCGCACAACACACCCTTGGAGCCCCAGGCCACATGACCAGGGTCAGAGCTTTACTCTCCAGGAAGCCTGCATGAGACCGAGCTGGGCTTGGGGACATCAGGCACAGGTAAGGGAGGGGCCAGGTGCTGTTCACCCTACGCTGGATAAGCCCACACAGAAGCAGTGAGGGCTCCCCTTTAGGTTAGAGAAAAAAAGCTCTAGAGTTCCTGATATTTGGGATCCCCTAACCAAAGGCCATGTGTGCAACCGTTGACAAACCCCAATACAAACACAGCTTTCAACTTATATTTTTAACTTTTTCAATATAAACGCTAAGAAATACCAGACATTTATATGCTCCCCTCCACACACACACACAAAAGAACAGGATGCTATTTTAAAAGATCATTCAGAGAATAAAACTAATCTCTTAGAAATTTAAAATATGGCTAGGTGTAGTGGCTGACACCTGCAGTCCCAGCACTTTGGGAGGCCAATACCAGATGAACACTTGAGGCCAGGAGTTCAAGACCAGCCTGGGCAACACAGCAAGACCCCTGACTACAAAAAAATGTAAAAATTAGCCGGGTGTGGTGACATGGGCCTGTAGTCCCAGCTATGTGGGAGGCTGAGAAAGGAAGATTGCTTGAGCCCAGGAGTTCAAGAGTGCAGTGAGCTATGATTGTGCCGTTGCACTCAGCCTGGGTGACAGAGTGAGACTCTATTTCAAAAAAAAAAAAAAATTAAAAATATGATGGTAGAAATTAAAATTTCAAAGAGAAGTTAGAAAATAAAGTCAGGAAGTGCCCAAAAAGTAGAAGAAAGTAGAAAAAAGCATCTGCCCTCAGTTGCTAATGGCTTCTGTTCTGAGAGAGGCAGGAAGGGCAGAGGACACAGGACCCGAGGCTTTATCAACACAGATCGCCATCGCCAGCATGTTCCTACTGAAAGGACCACGGTGGCATTCTGAAAACTATAAACAAAGGGTAAACAAGTCATTTATCAAGGGAAGGAAAAAATCGTTGATTCGGTTCTCTTACATTAAAAGAATAAATTTGAAAGCCAAAAGATCAAGGACAAAATGTTGAAATTCAGAGAAATGTGGTTTTATTCAGACACTGAAATATGAAATGGGATTTGAAATACCAGCTGGCAATCTGAATTATTTTTACTCCTTCTCAGTCCTGTGTTTGGGGGACAATTCCAGCAAACTTGGGGCAACAGGGGACTTGGCTTTTAATACTCATCCGAAAATCCCTCTCCAGAAGGTCTCGCCTCCCAAGGAGAGCAGCCTGCACTGACTCTGAGCCCTAACAAACACAGCACCAAAGCTGCTGTTTACCTGCATCGTGCAGATCGATGCACAGAGTTCAAAGAGGTGACGGCAGAATTAAAACATCAGCTCAGGAGATGCCAATCGATGCCGCTGCTATTTCTGAGCTGCACCCCAAATATGGATTCTGGCTCATGTTCCCTTGCAGGCCCCCAAACCGCAACTCTTTTCATCTCAGTTGTTCTTAAGACCCCTGTGGAGGAGCCTTTAGCCCACATAACCCCAAGAAACTGGACACTGAGGAACGGTGACAGCCTGCCCTGCCCTGCCCTTGAAGATTAGGAGAACGCCCCTTGCGGCAGGCAGTACACTTTCATGAGGCCAACTGATTCCTACAAACTGCCAAGAAGGCAGGCTGGGGACCTCTCCCCAACACCGACCACTCTCATCTCTACCTTTCTCCATCGCAGTTTAGGAATTCTCTTTCTCAGGCTCCTCCATTCATTCGTTCATTCGTTCATTCTTCACTCACCCAACAAACTTTCCCCAAACCCTCCCTTTCCCATGCCAACAGCAGGCTAGACCCCACTGGCGGGGAGATACCGTTCCACCCTCCCTGGCCTCCAGGGGTTCTTAAGCAGGGCCAGGCACACGGCAGGAGGACCAGCACACAGTGGTGGGACGGGGCTGCCTCACCTGTGGCCCCCCTGAGCTCAGGAGACACCTCTCGATTTACTCTTTTTTCCTTCCTTGAAATCCAGGCTCACCCTATCACCCAGCGAGAAACCTCGCCGGGTTTTTGTCTGCCCTGGGGTCTTCCTCCTTAGGCTGCAGGCACTTGCTCAGTTCCCTCACGTGCCCTCGGGGCACAGGGCTGAGGGTGCATCTTCTTAGTGGGGGCACTGCTCTGGAGAACACCCCTTTGGAATCTGTTATTTACTGTCCCAAGGGATGTGCTCAAAACAACGGACACAAGTCTCAAAGCAGCCAACAAACAAATCCTGCAAGGCCAGCCCCAAAACGCCCTTGCAGGTGGAAAAGGAAAAAGCCACTTGACAGTGCTCAGTGTTCGGCTCTACTCATCATCCTCAACACAGGGCTCAAGCGCCAGCGCCAACTTGTCTGAATAGTGACAGCAGCAAGTCTGCTCAAATTTAGATTTAAGCAGTGATTTTTCCGTCAAACAACCTAGTCACTATTTATTTTAAAACATTTTAACTTTCACCTCTTTTATAATGCACTGTCAAATGTACACTCTTACACACCTGAGAGGAAAGAAAGAACAGGACAAAAGGATAGACAAAGTTTTAGTTTGTCTCAGAAAAGGAAACATTTCTACAACCACCACCACCATCGAATCCTCTCTGACCCATGGCTTGGGACCGCTCAAGTGGATGCAGCTCCCGACCTCCAGGGCGACTGCTGTTCCTCGGCCGGCCACCAGGGGCACACCCTACCCGCGGTTTGCTGAGGACAAGCCAGGAGCCAGGCTAAGGAGTCACACCCCGCGCTGGGACTGCCCTTCCCCGCAGGAAGCTCGCGGGGGCTGTGACACACACACAAAGAACGTGCCAGGGGAATCGTGGCTGTCGCACGTGAAGACACAGAGGTAGGACTCAGAAGAGAGAATGAAGCCTACTGGGTGAAGAAGGAGCCTTGGAAGAGAGACCCAGGACCAGAGAGGCCTGACTTTAGGGCCACACTGATGGAAACCCATCTATGTATATATTTTTCCATTTCATAAGATTCTGAGAATACCACATGCCATCTTGTCCAGTCCCCTCGTTTTGGTCAAAAAGAAACTGTGTGACTTCCTCAAGGTCACATAGCTGGTTGGTAGAGTCAGAACCAAACTTTTGAGTCCTAGTCAAAAACCTCTTAAGGCTCTTACTAGGTTAAATCAACTTCTCTGCTAAGTGAACATTTTTCCTTTATTTTTTTAAGAGGCAGGGTCTTGCTCTGTCACTCAGGCTGGAATGCAGTGGTGCAATCATGGCTCACTGCAGCCTCGAACTCCTGGGCTCAAGTGAGTCTCTTGCTTCAGCCTCTCCAGTAGCCGAGACTACAGGTGTGCACCACCACACCCAGCTAATTTTAAATGTTAGGGTTTTTTTGCAGAGACAAGATCTTGCTATGTGGGCCAGGCTAACATAAACTCCTGGGCTCAAGCGATCCTCCCACCTCAGCCTCCCAAAATGCTGGGATTACAGGCGTGAGTCACCATACCAGCCTAAATTTCTTTAAAAAAAAAAAAAAAAAGTCAAATTTCTAGAACTCACAAGTACTTTATTAGTGCTTTCTGGTTTCACGTTGCATAGCTCAAGTTACTCATAGCCTGACAGGCTCTGAAGATAGCCGCTGCAGCCTTAACAGTAATGAAAGAGGCTCAAATTATTGACTGGTGGGGAGACATTAGAATATTTCAGGTTCTGACTCCAGAACCTGAAATAAAGTATAGTAAAACCCTACCTGTGGGCCTGATAGTGTTTCATTGTATACTCATTTGTATAGTTCATATCAGAGAGGTGCTCATGCCCAGTAATTGGTTCCATCTATTTCCTGGGAAATGGATCCCTCATATGAGATTCCTCTCTGAGAACAACAACTTATTCTGAAATGACAACCTCTGCTGTTTGAATTGTCACACTCATTAATTACATGTAAATCTATAATTATGAAATCAGGAACCACAGCCTCTTGGCTGCTGCCACACAAAACGCTAGGCACCAGCAATTCATGCAAACCAAGCACTAATACTTGATTCATTCCTGGACTCCTTCAAGCTTCCTTCAAGTTTCCTACCCCTCCAGATTAACAATTATACCTCCCAGTACAAATAGGAGCTGGTACCATTCGTTTTGAAACTATTCCAAACAA